AAAAAAAAAAAATTTCTTTCAGATAAACAGGTAATCTGAATGCAGAAAAATAAAACACTGAAAAAAGCTCTGGTAGATTCATAGAACTTTAGATTTGAAAAGGGCCCAATGATTACATCTAATCAAGCTTTCATGAGAAGTTTAGAGGAACAGAGAGGTCAAGTTATTTGCCTAGGTCACACAGCTAGATCGTGGCCTTGTTACTCTCCAAGTTACTATAATTGTGTTGTTCAACAACTTTAGAGAGGAGAGGAGCCAATTAGAGTGGGATTAACTTTACATAGGATCACAAGTGTATTGTAAAAAACAGGAAGTTACCCTTTAAAAACCCAGCTTTGTGAGCTTTCTTTTCATGTCTTCAGAAAAAAAGGTACTTTCATTAATAGAAAGTTTTACCTTTGGTCTTGAAACTAATATATATTTTAAGAATCAAAATGAAATATGCTTCCTTTTAAAAATAGCCCTTTTTTGGGGGTGAGGGTGTTGGAGGCAGGAAAAGGATTTGCTTTTCAAAATCCTGTTTTCATTTTGCAGAGCTTCTGGGTCAGTTTTCACCAGGGAGATTTGCTACCCCCACAAAGTCCATCGGAAGTAAATTTCTGTGGACGGGTTTGTCATTCCCCTATTTAATGTGATTTCTCCGGTAATGTTTATTTCCAGAGGCACTGCCTAGGTTCCATGCGTTGCTGAGAGTGAGCTGTGGAAAGGGATTTATTCTAGGAAACTGCCTCCAAGCTGTGAAGAGATCGCACCTTGTTAATGTCGGGGGGACTCCTGGGTCGTTTGCACCACGTCCTGTGGATTGTACTTTTGAAATACGCCGCGCGCTTGTTTCCTTGTTTTCTCCCCAGACCTCCGTCCACACGGTCCTGTTTCAGTCGTGTCCCCGTCTGTCCGTCTGTCTGGCTGGAGCGACTTTTCTGGAACAGATCAATCAGATCATTGCACTCCCTGCAGTGAATCCTGCGGTGTCTACTCCTGCCCGCAGAGTTGGGGTCCTTGCTTTGGCAAACCATTCTCCTCTGCTTGGGGTTCAGCCTTGAATCTGTTCTGCTAGCACGTTCTCCGATCCTGCCCCCCACAACCTCGTGGTGATCTCTGCTTCTGTCTGTGTCTCTAGTGTTCCCTGTTGCTGACCAGCTTGTAAGGGGTCAGCGCGTGCCCCCAGTGGGGATGCCCTCTGTTCCGGGCTGTCTGTGATACTCTGTTGGCTCCAAGTGTTCCCCCCTCCTGTGTCATTCAGCTGCTTGTCCTTCTGCACCCCCCCATCCTTGGAAATGTCCCCGACAGACTCCAGTGGACATCCGTGAGGGAGGCAGTGTTTTGCAGAGGGTGCCGCGTCTTCCCCTGTTGTTGGTGGGCATGGTGTCCCCGTCTAGGTGATCGGGTGATCCGCAAACTCACACACATGCTTCCGTCATTGCAGGCAGGTGTGTGTTGTCCGCTGCGTGCTCCCTGTGCGTGTTCTTGCACCCGGCGCTTGTTGGCTGTTGGGTCTCTGGTGGGCTGGCCACATTTGCTTATCAACAGGCGAGTTCTCTGCAGATGGCATTGGCCATTGCTCCTGGATGCTGGTGGCGCTGGAGACACACTGGTGAGTACCGCCACCCGCTGTAACATCCAGGTCTAGGGCACGAGAACTTGCAGGGAGCCCTGCCGGCCTGTGCCTCTCCTCTCTGGTCGGCTTCGTGCAGCCCCGTGGGGAGGAGATCTCCAGAACCATGGCTCCCCACAAATACCAGTGTCTGTGTCATAATAGGACTCGGAAAGGAGCGTTCTTATTAGGAGAACACATTTCTGCCTGTCATCGTGTGCGTTGTTTTAGCAAACTGATGTCGCTGGGGTAAAATTAGTCAGCCTCAGTGTGCAAAGTGCTGGGTTTGCCAATGCCCTCTGTTTTAAAGCATCTTGGAACCCGTCTATCTGTTCCACGGGTTCCTTTACTTAATCTTTCATTTAAAGAAAAAAGACAAACACTCTGAGTTTCTATTTACATTTAAGTCGTTCGTGTGCGCACCCAGTTTTCTTGCACCGTTGGTCTTAGATGTTGCTGCAGGGCGGGGTTAGGACTGGCTTGCCTTGCTTTCTCGGCCCCATGCAGCGCTCCGGTGAGCCTGTGGTATTTACCGATCCTTGATGTGGCTTTTAAACAAACCCAAGAAACCATTTCAGCCTTTTAACCAGTGCTTTCCTATTTTTTGGGACAGCCCTGCCTTGCATTGTATCTCTCATCCTGACTTCTCCTCAGACCGCACAGCCTCACTTTGCTTCAGAAAATAGAAAAAGCACCTGTGCTCAGAGACTGTGGGATGAGTAAAAGATAATCTCCCGGTTGGTTATGTTTGCCTGATAATTTGTCATTTCATTTGCTTATTCGTGTACTTACCTTCATACCAGCAAGATGCATAGGTCGCTGCTGGAAGAAGCAGTCTAGACATTTCCATGGTTCCTATTCTAAAATAGGTATTTCCTTTCTTTGTGTTTTGATTGAGAAATGGCTTTGTATCCCTGCCCCCACAGCATCTGCCATAGTATTTTATATAAACAGGTAGCTAATAAATACGTGCTGGGTTAAGTTCCCATGCTGTGTACCTGGTACCTTGCCCATCTCCTCCTGGCAGAGTTTTTTGTCTTCTTCCTGCCATTGCACCGATGACTAACACCCTCTTATGAACCTTTAATTTTGACCCCCCCTCAAAATAATTTTCCAGGAAAGCAAACTGAATAGCACCAAAAGGGGTGTGTGCACGTGAGAGAGTGTGTGTGTGCGCGCGTGCTCGCACACGCACGAGTGCATGTGGCCAGCGGTTTAAAAGGGGGTGGTATTCTTAAAAGGTATTTGAGTGACAAATATTCTATTTATAGGTGTAGAGGCACTATGGTTTTCTTCATGCATCCTTGCCCTTTTGCTGATTTAATCTTTCATCTACGTGTGCAATAAAAGTAGATGTTGAATGAGTGAAAGATTTAAAAGCCCCGCATGGCTGTGTCTGTCTAACCACCAGAGAGGTCAGCGGCCGACCCTTAGGAGTGGCGACCCTTGGGGGGGGCGCATGCCTGGCTGTTTCATGGGCTGTAATGTAAATGAACCAAATTGTAGGTTCTGTGAGAAGCGCCTGTCATTTTACCTGTTTTTCCACCTGTCGTATCTGAATGCAAGTGAAGAATAGCCATGCTATTATAGGAAAAATCTAATTGGTCAGAAAGCACATTGGCAAACGTCGGTACTTTAACTGGGTCCGGTCGCACATTGCTTGGGACACGCGAGACGTCTCACCCGTGTGTGGGTATTTTCTGTTATCAGCATTACGTGGCATCCTACATGTTATAGTCACCTGGTAGCAGCTCTGATAGGATGCTCTTATTTTGGAGGGGACTTTAAAAACAAAGGAATATAATCAAGGTGCTCTGATTTTTTTTTTTTTCTTTGTTGGTTGCTCTTAGGTAATTCTTGCTGCAGGATGCATTAAGAGAAGAGGATCCTTACTCACTAGGCATGGAGAGCAGCTTGTCAGCTTCCAGCATGCAGGACCCTTCCTCCTCACCCTTGGAAAAACAGCAAAGCTCAGCAAGCGGTAATGGAGGTCTCGATTCAGGTGGGACTTTGTTTTCTGGATCTCTCTCTGACGTTTTGATTTAGTGACCGATACCTTCCCGAAAATGTTCAGGAAACAATGGGGCAGACATCTCGAGATCTCTCGCACTGCCTGTTCCTAGGATTTGCTGTCATATTTATAAGCATAGAGCAGCTTGAAAGTTACACAAAGTTTGGCTCAAAATGTAGTATTTCCAATACTAGATGGAGAGGGGTAGGTTGCAGTGAGGTGACAGATCACTTCAGAATCTCAGTGGTTAACACAGCAAATGTTTATATATCATTCATGCTAGCTCTAGAAAGAGCTGGTGCGCTTTCTGCGGATTCATGCCACACCGATTTTTTGTTACGGGGTAAGCAGAGCTCGAGGGTCGTGAATCAACAGTGTGACATGCTCTGGCTCCGAACACACAGCTGTTAGTTTTGCTCAGAACCTCTGGACCAGGACCTGTCTCGTGCTGGCACCCCTGCAGGGGAGGTGGGAATGTCAGCTTGTGTCCCTCGTGCCCAGAGGGACAGGACAGCGGGCTCTGCCTAGGCACTGATGCCGGCACCCCCACTCCTCTCCGAAACCTTGAGCACGGCTTTCAGAGAAGTGCCTAATGGGAAAGAAATTTAGGTCATGTGAATCCGTGGTATAGTTGTTCCTCCCTTCAAGGAACCCAACACCTAACCAGTCTTTGATTGAATTTTAGTATTTCATCGATGAATTTTTATGTGTCTCTTTTTCTAAATGCTTACACAAGAGTCCGTTTTAAAAAGACACTTTTTTTTTTTTCCTTCTTTTAAAGGATTGCTCTATTTGCATAACAGCAAATTAAATCAGGACAGCTTAGCTGTCCGGATCATGAACGTTTGCTCTGGTGAATTCATGTACAAAATGTTGATCCTTAATTCAGTGAGAGATTTGACCCTTATCCAGAGAAGTCACGATGGTTGTCTTCATATTCTGATGAGTGCTGTCAATGGCAAAATTACAGATGGCTCGATTTCATTGGATTTACTGCATTAACTCAAATTTATATCTTTATCTGCAAAAAATCTGGAAACCCCTGAAGTTATTGCCTAAATATGTGGAAAAATGTTAGTGTCGGCTTCAGAATCAGCCCAGTTTCCCCACCCGCCCCCTTGGGATTTTTCTGTACGTAAGCTGGAGTGAGGAAACTTCTAGAAGCAGAGCTGAGTCATTGTCCCCTAGTGGAAGTATGGAAATTCTCTTCTGAGGAAACTGAGTCCCATAGGCGGAAGGTTCACCCTAATTCTACTCTCATTTAAGTACAAATACGCTTTTTTTTTTAAAAAGTCTGTCTAGGGGCGCCTGGGTGGCTCATATGGTTAAGCATCTGCCTTCGGCTTGGGTCATGATCCCAGAGTCCTGGGATCGAGCCCCATGTCCAGCTCCTGGCTCAGCGGGGAGCCTGCTTCTCCCTCTGCCTCTCCCCCTGCTCATGCTCTCTCTCTCTCTCTGTGTGTGTCTTGAATGAATAAATAAAATCTTTAAAAAAAATAAAAATAAAAAAAAATAAAAAGTCTGTCTACGTTTGCTGCATGAAATTACGTTTCCAGTTTTGGTTCCCTGGGCTTTCACAGGCCTTCGCCGAATGCACATCCTGTGTCTGTGACTGCCTCATTTTCAAAGGTATGTTTTCAAAACTGTTTTAAAAACGAAACGTGTGTTGACTTTTCATTTTCTTACAGCTGCAATATATCTGTCTAGCTTAAGTAGATTTTGAAGCCCGTTGGTAATAATATGGTGTTGGGAGAATTATTTGTGCTGCATTTCCTCTCGGGTGATTCCATGAATAGGGAAGTAGGGGATTTGTTCTGTCACCAGCCAGGCTGGGCTTGTGCTGACGGCCAGTCGTGTGCACACACTTCATGGAGGCTTCCTTGCTCGTGCACGATGGGGGACCTGAATCATACAAGACCTGAAGATCTTTACTAGAAATGGTAGTTCTGAAGAGCTCCAGATGATCTTAACATGTACAGACATGGGCCCCGGAGGTTTTTTCCCCCTTACGTGGCTGATCTGTCCTTTCCCCTTGGAATTTCCGTAAGCACCTCTTCGTGGAGGAGACTTGTAGGTGGTGCCATGAAGAGCGACTCCTAAAGGAGGAATAAATTTAAGGCAGGATCTTAAACCTCTGTAGAGAGCAGAGGCCAACTTCGAGAAACTCAGTGTTTCTCGAACATTGCGTCTGTTACAATGGACTCAAGTACGAGTCATCAAAAAGCTTATTTTCCCCTTCAAGCTGGTAATACAGAAAACAGTTCCCATTCTGGTGTCGGTGGGGTGGGTGTCTGGTTGTGGGGCCCACTGTGATATGCTTGGGGCCGCCGTGGGCTGTTTGGCCGCGAGCGTTTTGGATGAGACTCGCTTCCCAGAAGAGCAGGGGGAGGGCAGGCTCAGCTGGTTCTCCGTTGACAGAGGACAGGTAGGTACATGATCCTGAGTTCGAATGGTATGGCAGGCACTCTCTAAGGACTTTTATGTGTGTTGACTCAGTTTACCCTTCCACGACCCCATGAAAGCGCTGCTTTTATTATCCACATGGTAAAGAGGAGGAAACCGGACGACGTGGTGAAGTCACTTGGCTCTTGTGTTGGAGCCAGGATTTCATTCCAGGCGTCCGGAGGCTCGGAAGCAGGTGCTCTGCACACTGGGTCGTATCTGCCCTTCCGTGCAGGGCGAAGTCACCCACGTGCACGCGAGCACGCCCCCTCCACGCGCACACACGCGCTTTCTGGGATGCAGGCACAACCCAGCTGCTTTCTTATCCTTTCCTCCACATGTCTGCTTGCCCCTCCCCACGTGTGCTGGAACGCAGGCCCGTCGCTCCCCAGCAGGTGACAACGCGTGGTTCCCTCTAGCTCTTCTCGGCCCAGGTGACAGGGCCAGCGCCTTCCGTGGTTGCCCCCCCCAACTCCGCTGCTTTGACTTGTGTCCCCATGCCCTACCCCGAACCACTGCGCTTCCTTGGCACGGACGATCCATCCCTCTGACGCGAAAACTTCACCGTACAGCAGTGAGCTCCGACTCCCAGTAACAGCTTTTTTATTTTCCGTTTTGCCTCTTTTCCTAAGAAAAGCTCAAATCCTAGTTTGACTGGCACCTCAGTCCTGTAAAGGAAATAGGCACCACGTGAAATGACTCTTCCTCCCAGGAGCGCGGAGGACGTTGCCCGGATGAGCGCAGACGGATGAACGGAAGGCCTCCCCAGCGGACAGGATGGACAGTGTTGTCACCGGGCATGCAGAGAAGGCCGTGGACCCAAATTGGCTTTCTGGAATTCTAGGCTTCTCCAGTTGCCGTTATAAAAGCAAGCAAAACAATATGCTGACATGGTGATAGATAGAGTCCTTGACATTATTTTTCCAGGCTGGCCAAATTTCCCGATGAAGTCTGTAGATAAAGTGGTGGTGCACATTTAGACTGGGCGGGCTTCTGAGTAAAGAGAATTATGCTGGCAATGCGGGCTTAAAAAAAATTTTTTTTTTTCTTTTGGTGTTAGGAATACATTAACTGGAGTCCCACAGGCTTTTTTATTCTGGAAGGAAAGGAGTCAACATTCTTGTTAGAAAAATTCAGATTTCTTATTCTTGGTGCCAGGAACTTTAGCGTTCTCTGTTAAAAACAAAACCAAACAAAAGACCAAAAACACTTCTCTTTAGAATACTAATTGCCGCTCCCCTCCCCCCCCGCACCCCCAGCTGGGTGATTGGGTGATTTTTATGTGTTTTCTTTTTTCTGGAAAATCTCTCTGGCCATCTGGGTGCAGATGACTGTCCCCCCTTCCCTGGGGGACGTCCTGCAGCCGTGAACTCGGCCCTCGGCATGGCCTTGGCCAGCCCTTTCCGAGTGTCGTTCGTGCTGTAGGTCTGTTTAATGCCCTCAATGGAAGGACTTTTTAAGCCTTGTGATTGTATGAACGGACTGTCAGCAGTGAAAATCGCGAAAATTTAATGCCTTGCTTTCTCTTCCCGAGTGTATGAGGAATATCTAGCACATGAGAAAGTGTTGTATGAGATTTCATCGGCTCCAAACCTGCAGACTCTCTGTTCTTTTCTTGGCAAGTGGTCACGGACGTTAGCATTCAGCCTCCCAAAGTTAGCCAATTTCAGAGTGTAAAACCAAAACCCAAGATTTGATTACTTAAAAAAAAAAAAGGTGTGTGAGCCATGTGTTTACTCTGCTTTACGCTATCATGTATAAGGTGCGTAAACGTACACACCTCCACTTTTAGTGTTCTTTTTCTTTCTTTTTTTTTAAAGATTTTATTTATTTATTTGAGACAGAGAGAATGAGAGACAGAGAGCATGAGAGGGAGGAGGGTCAGAGGGAGAAGCAGACCCCCTGCCGAGCAGGGAGCCCGATGCGGGACTCGATCCCGGGACTCCAGGATCATGACCTGAGCCGAAGGCAGTCGCTTAACCAACTGAGCCACCCAGGCGCCCAAATAAATAAAATCTTATTTTTTTTAATTTTTTAAAGATTTTTTATTTATTTATCTGAGAGAGAGAATGAGAGAGAGAGAGCACAAGAGGGGGGAGCGGGAGAGGGAGAGGCAGACTCCCTGCCGAGCAGGGAGCCCGATGCGGGACTCGATCCCGGGACTCCAGGATCATGACCTGAGCCGAAGGCAGTCGCTTAACCGACTGAGCCACCCAGGCGCCCTAGTGTTCTTTTTCTATCAGGAAATGTGCTGGTCACATAAATAGACTTCTGTTTTCTACAACCGAGTGGCCACTAATAGTGTGTCTGTTTTCTCTTAGAATGTGGAATTTTCTTGGTCGCGTTTCATGGTCGGTTTTCATGACGTCATGGGGAAAAACGCTTCCGACTGGTGCCTTGGCAGAGGCGGGAGATTGTCAGAGTTTCCCTGATAAAATGTTTATGGGTTTAAGAGGTTTATGAATCAGCTGTAAATATTTGCTCTGGGTTTATGAGGCCTCCACTCATAAACAGTGTGTGTGTTTATCTATTGCTCATTGAAACGTCTTTAGAGAACGGGCTGTTCGGGGAATGTGTGTGCCTGGAGGAAGTACTATGAGTTACAGGTCAGGAGAGGCCTAATTGTAGGGGACCCTAAATTTTGTGTATGATTTTATTGTTTAAAACTACTGGTGCTGGGCACACGAGCTTTAATTTTTAAAATCCCATTCCAGGTTTGACTTTTAAGTATTTTCTGTGGACCGTGGAGCGTGAACAGCACTCTCTGTAGCAGTGTTCTTAGGAACTCGCTGGGGAGTCACTGGGGGACCTTTCCGTCTCTTGGTGACTTGAACGAACACCCAAGTGACGCCTGAAAACCATCTACAGCCTGTTTATTGCAGGAAGAGAAACATGGTTTGTAATGAATTAAAATTCAGTGGGAACTAAGTTTTGGGTAGAATGCTAGTAGCCTCGATTGGAATTGTATGAAGAGTGAAGAAGCTTAGCGAGCGGTCTCGAAGCTGAAGCTGAGAAATTTAAGCCAAGGTCTCACCCTCCCGGACGATGCCAAGCAATGGCGTCACCGGTCCTTCCAGGCGTGGTGCTGAAGCTCATCCAAGCTTTCTAGCCCCAGGCACTGGCTGCTGCAGGACTTCTTCCTCGTTCTGTCTCCACGCAGGTGTTTCTGATGCCAGGGAAGCCAGCACTCCCTAAGAGAGCCCTTCCATTTTCCAGGAGCTGGTAATTCACCCAGGGGCTCTCCCAGGACCTTCTGCCTCCGAAGGCCCAGGACTGAGTTTCATGGCCATGTCGTCCCCCTGGTTGTGTCCTCCTGCCGAAGGCTCCAGGGGCTCTCTGCACACACTGTTCTCTCTGAGCTTGGCTACTGCCTCCTGCCTTCCCCCATCTCCTGCGTCTTCCCGCTGCCGGGCTTGGCTCTCGAATGCTCTGATGCTCACCAGCACAGAAGACAGACAAGCTGGCCCTGGAGCCTGCCTCGGGTGGTGGTCCTGGAGCGCATACGCCCTACGCGTGGTGCAGGCAGAAGGGAGACATGGAAAGGTGTCTCGGGAGAGTTCCAGCTTGAAACCCGACAGCCCGAGTCAGATCCTGCTTCTGTGGCTGGACAGTTGCGTGGTCCTGGTGACCGCGCCCCCCCCCCCCCCCCCCGCCTCTCTGGGCTCCCGTCATCTCTTCTGTGCAATGGGGATGGTAGTCACCATGTGTCAGGGTTCTTGGAAAGAGGAAACAGGGTGATGCACATAAAGCAGTTAGCAGAGAGCTCGTGGAGTTCTTGCCACGAGCCCGTGGTGGCTCTATGGGGCTGGAAGTGCGTGACCCTGGCTGGGGCGGGCAGGCCTGCAGGTGGCGTGGGCTCTGCGGGAGCCAGACAGGTGGGGTGTAGAGAAATTACAGACTTCCTTGGCGCCAGGCGCCCTGAGCAAGTGAGACGTGCGCAGGCATGCTTCTGGCTAGTGCATCAGAAAGCAAACCTGGTAATCGATGCCTGCAGCCTTTTGGGGAAAAGAGTTGTGGATAGAGTCGTCGGGCGACACCCGGAGGGGTTTTCCAGAACGTGACTGCTTTCCTGCGGGTTTGCCTCACCATGTGTCAGCAGTATATCTTGTTAGCTGGCCGCTGCGGGATCTGCTGATTTTTTTTCAGGGAGCCTGTTTCCAGTGGAAGGACCTAGATCCCTGGGTAAAGTGGAATGTTGGGAGAAAAACAAGGGAAAGATTTTCTCTTCAGGGAGCTTTTCTTTTTCTTGCACATTTAATTACAAACCAGCTTACGGGGGTCAAAGTTGAGGAGGCTAGTTCCAAGCAACTTTGATTTAGAAGACAAAATTTAAGGTAACTGCTTTTAATCTAGCATCTTCTGGCTTTACAAAAATGATCTTCTGCCCGTTTCTGAGACTATACAGAGTATCGCAGGAAAATTACTTTTCCCACTTACAATTGAAGAAACCTTTGGTAGAAAAAAGGTTGTGATAGCCTGCAAGAATAAGGCTTTCTTTCCTAGAGCCTCCTGTTGCTGGTTCTCCTGGATCACCTGCCAGGATATACCACTTCTCCATTAATGACATGACTGAGAGCAGTATTTATTTTTGGCCTGTGAAATAGGCTCTTGCTTATAGAAGATACACAGGTTGAACATCCGTTGAGCATTATTGCAAGGAAAGAGAAGCTAACCTTTGAAGATCTTACTTATCCACGTGTGTGGATAACCCCTAACCCCTACTGCTCTATGTTCTTTTTTTATGATATGATAGCCTTGCAGATAACGCTGAAATAACGTTTACAGCTTGTGAGTTCTTTCCATTGGAAACTGTGATGTAATATTGTTATCCGTGCTTTAAAATGAGTTATTTGGTTCTTTTTGACTATACAGATTGTATCTTCCGCACAATCTTAAATGTTCTGAGAATTGCTTGATCGGTTTGAGAATTGCTGGTTGGTTTCTGTCACTAAGTTGCTAGGTGACCTCACATACTGGAGCAATCCTTCTGGACCTCCCAGTAGTTTTTTCCTTGGAATTACATCAGAGTCAATGCTTCCTGAAGTCCCTTATGACCCTAACAATCTGTGCTCTTACTTTATAATCTCTAGCCGTCGGAAGTAAACACGTGGTCAAAGGTGCTCATGCTGTCTACACGTCAAGGTACCTCCTCAGTGCCCGATGGTTTCCTTTACCAGGTCCTCCAACCTCCCCGGAGAAGGGAGTGGCCACAGTGACAGCGGCTGATTCCAAACAAGTACTCTAGCAGGCGGCAAATGTGCCCCGAAACAAATCTCGTTTCGTTCGCCTGAGAGCGCCTAATTTTACCCTTGATTTTGCCAGCGTAGTTCAGGCAGGATTTCTTCAGTGTTCCCTTTCCGTAGTCAACACCCCACAGCCAGCACACCAAAGCCGACAGTATCAGCAGCATCCTTTTTTTCTTTTCTTCAAGGTTTTTATTTATTTATTTGAGAGAGAGCGAGAGAACACAAGCAGGGGGAGCAGCAGAGGCAGAGGGAGAAGCCGGCTCCCCGCTGGGCAGGGAGCCCGACGCGGGGCTCGATCCCAGGACTCTGAGATCATGACCTGAGCCGAAGGCAGATGCTTAACCGACTGAGCCACCCGGGCGCTCCTCAGCAGCATCCTCAACAGGATCCTCCTGCACGGTTGAATTCCATTGTCTCTTGCATTAAGGATTTGCCGCTCTTCGTGGAAGGCCCGTGCCTTTCCATTCTTCACTCTGGTGTTGATAGTCTTCTTTTTTTCCTTGTCTTTTGACAGAAGAAGGCTCAAGCCTGGAGGAAATTGGCTTTAACTGGGGAGAGTATCTGGAAGAAACAGGTACCAACGCAGCTCCTCACACGTCCTTCAAGCATGTACGTAACACCCCTCGTCTTTCTGGTCTGCATTTGGAGAGGGGGAGGGGCGTCTGCAGGAAGATGCCGAATCTTTGGGAAGAAAAGGGAAATTGAGGCAGGATTTCTTAGAAATCCAGAGGTGAGGGGGACGTCCATTTGCTTTCCACAGACAGCTGCAGGAAAGATGGGCCTCGTCCTCATACTTGATGTCTTCTGGTAATGGGGGCTGGGCCCAGGGTGGGTCTCAGTGTGTGAAGGACAGTGTGCACCTTACCCTTATTCTGCACCTGTGGAGCCAAGGTAGACAGACATGGCCCTGCAAAGGGCACACAGCCTGAGACAGGTAGGATTGTTGGGAATAAAAAGCCAGCAAATGAGGAGGTCAATACATGTGATGAGCAATATCATCTAAGACGGGTAATGGCTGTATATTTTTTATTTTGAATGGATATTTGTATTTCAAAAGGACACCTAAAAGTCTTACAACCATCTGTGGGCAGATGAGTGAAATTAGAGGAAATGACTGTAAATATTCAGAACACATTTGGATCAAACCAGAAAATCATTTTCATCAGTAATATTTCTTTGAACAATGCACATAGCGTGCCCTGCCAAGGACAAGTCCCGGGAAATAAAAGATGGAGGATTTATCAGACTTTTGCTTATGTATGAGATTTTGGTAATATATCATTAGCGAGGGAAAGACTAAATTTTCAGGACCCAAGTTCTGAGGCATTACTGTAGCTTTACTGGAAATGAAAGTTTAATTCTGAGAAACAATTTTTTTTTCCCCCCCACTGGGCTATCCAAAGCAAAGATTTAGCCCAAGTCTGGTAAACAAACTGGGGCAGTTTTCTAGCCTGTTCTTGCTTTTGGCTCTTTTGCCTCTTAAAATGCTGGGATGACTTGGCTAGATCCCTTGAGGGGGTTTAGGAAAGAGATACTGATCCACAGATTTTTCCTTCCTTTCTGTACCAGGAAGTTACCAGTATTTCTCTATGTGGAGCCACCCTGTTCTCTTAGATCCAGTCATGTCTCCCACTTCCCTTTCAGCCACAGTGTGGTTTCCTTCCGGACGCACAGTTTCCCCAGGCCCATGCGCCAGGTTTAGAGGAAGAGGAGCATGGACCCCTGGATGAGCCACGTATAATCCCAACATCTCTTAAGCAGGTGCTCCTCGAGGATGTCAGATGTGTGAGCTTTCGAATGTTGTGGCTCACCAGGCTGCAAATATTAATGGACTATAACCCTTAATTAAAAATAAGGAAAAAGAAACGCGTTCTCCAAGGCTGTGCTATTCTTGAAGTGGCCGCTAGCCACATGGAGCTACTGAGCATTTCAGATGCGTGCTGTCCCGAACGGACAGGTGGTGTGAATGTAGAAGGCTGGCTGGATTTTGCAGGCTTCTTGGAAAAGAACAATGTAAACCAACTCCGTGTCTTTCATGTTGATTACATCTTGAAATAACAATATTTGGTGTATATTGGGTTAGATAAAATACATGAGTAAAATGAATTTCATCTGTTGTATCTTTCTAATTTTTCGTGTGGCTGTTAGTAAACACCACATCTGGTGGGTGGCTTGTGTGGTATTTCTCTTAGTGCTGTTCTAGGGCGAGAGGAATATTATTTTTAAGTGCTGTGTGTTTCGTAGTTCTCGTCCTCTTCTGGGTGTGTCCGATATAATCACATTGTCCCCGTGTTTCTCTTTCCTGAAGGTTGAAATCAGCCTTCAGAGCAATTTCCAGCCGGGGATGAAGTTGGAGGTGGCCAATAAGAACAACCCAGACACGTACTGGGTGGCCACGGTCATCACCACCTGTGGGCAGCTGCTGTTGCTACGTTACTGTGGTTACGGTGAGGACCGCCGGGCCGACTTCTGGTGTGACGTGGTGATCGCGGATCTCCACCCCGTGGGGTGGTGCACGCAGAACAACAAAGCCTTGATGCCCCCGGACGGTAAGCTCCCCGCATCCCGACGGCCGGGTGGCCCACATCCCGAAGCCTCTCCACTCACACGCGATCAGCGTTCAGGATGCTCGTAGAGCCTTGAAAACCGATTTATTGGGAGGTCTGGTGCTTTGCAGGTTGCTTCTTGAGTTTCAGTGTCGGGAGGGAGGGCTCCAGAGTGGGGGGGACCTGGGTGCATTTTTACTTGTCCACTGAGCCCACCGGGGCCTTCTGGAGACTAAGACTGGGCATTTTTTAATTAATTTATTTATTAGAGAGAGAGAGAGAGAAAATGAGCTGGAGGGAGAGGGAGAGAGAATCTGAAGGAGACTCTGTACCGAGCACAGAGGTCTGACACTGGGCTCGATCTCACGACTGCAAGATCATGACCTGAGTCGAAACCCAAGAGTCGGCCACTTAACCAGCTGAGCCACCCAGGCGCCCTGAGACTGGGCATTTTGAATAGTCACATAGAGCACCTGGAACAGGCTTCTCTGATAAGTTTTCATCTGTCTTCTTGTGGGGAGACTGTCAGGGTGGGAAGCGTGTAGAAAACTGAACAGATGTGGAGAAATGACATTACTCTCGAGGGAATCATCAGAGCTTGTAGAGATAAGATCCATTTAGTCGCTGGAAAACAGTGGTTCCCTACAGTGACCGTACCCGCCAGGGGACATTCAGCCATGTCTGGGAGCATTTTGGGTTACAACAGGGGGGGTGCTCCTGCTGGCCTCTAGTGGGAAGGCCGGGGTGCCACACAAGACAGTCCCCGAACCAGGGAGTCATGGGGCTCGAACTGCAGTGGCACGGACTTGGAGAAATCCAGAAGGAGCTCGTCTGATCCCGTAAGTGAGAAAAGCCGCGTTTCCAAATATTTGAATCTTCACACCCTGTTTTCAGTGTTCGAATCTGCGGTGATGGCCGCGGTGATGCTTGAAGACTTCGGATGCTGATGCTCAAGACTGTGTCATGTCTTCATAGTACCTGTCTGCCTGTTTTAATTTTGACTTGATATCTTTATTTCCACCTGACAGGTAACGTTTCAGAGCTGAATTCCGAGGTCCTTTTTGTCCACCATATTGGCAGTTGCTTTCGCCCGGAACTTTTGGATTTTGTCTTCTTTCTGAAGTTCTTATATATTCTTCTGATTGGTGGGAATGGTCTATGCCTTTCTACTACCCCGTGTCCTGCATAATTGAGAGCCGGCTGAGAGGCGGTCATGGCCCTATAGACCCATGACCATGGAGCTTGAGTTGTATTTCTGTGACGTTTATAAGGACAGAATACATTGCCTGGGCCTCAGCTGACATCGTGGCCCCTGAGTGCCCCAGAAGAAAGAGAGATGGGCCCTTCTGTCCTGCTTTGGGTCATTGCATCTGTGCTCCCCCATGTGCAGGCCCTCCTCCCGCCCCCCCCCCGCCTCCTCCAGCTGTGAGCTCATAGGCAACCAAGGTCAGACCCTGTCTTTGCTCACAAAGGCGCTGGTGCCCTTGGAGTTGATCACATCTGCAGCTGTGCCCCTCGCCCCCCCCTTATTGATACTTGAAAACAAATTGAGTGACGATACACATACTGTAAAATTCATCCCTTGGAAGTGTGCCCTTCAGTGATTTTTGGCGTAGTCTACAAGGCTGCACAACTGTTGTCATTGTCTTAATTCCAGAGCGTTGTCATCACCCTGTAAGGGAACCCCGTGCCCATTGACCGCCACTCCGTTCTCCCAGTCCCTAGGTGCTGGCGACTGCTGGTCTGCTTTGTTTCTGTGGCCTCGTTTATGGAGACACGCGGAATCGCAGAACGTGAGGCCGCTTGCGTTTGGCTTCTTGAACTTTGCATCGTGTCCTGGAGGCTCCTCCCTGTTGTTCAGCTCGTGGGTCAGGACTTCATGACTTTTCCTGGCTGCGTACTATTCCGCCAGGTGTCTACACCACACTGTGCTTCTGCATTCGGCCGTGGGTGGGTGCAGGGTGCAGCCGTAGTCCCTGTTCTGTGGTTTTACCCCAAACGGCGGCTCCACAGTGGGAAATTGCTCACTTGTGTAGCCCAGCACTAACACCTGCCCTGGCGAGTTCTTAGTAAGTGCTCATTGACGGAGTGAATGCTCTGCAAGGAGGTTATTACCTCTGCTTATTACATAGATGCCCTTAGGAGGGGAATCTTTGTTGTTATGTCCACGGGTAGTGCCTTTCTGCCTGGCCTTTGAGTCAGGGCTGGTTGTGTCTTTGGAGCTACGAGTGTGAGCCTTGTTTCTGGTCTCTCTGCAGAGGGAGGGGCACTCGTGGGCCGTGACCAGCCGGCCCTTTGTTTCTGTGTCCCGTCCCAGTTCTGTGCGCACACATAGTGGGTCGAGCTGGGTAGAGCTCTCCTCAACGTGTCCCGGGCCCGGCCTGCACTGTAGGTCTGTCGAAAGTAACACTTTTATATTTCTCTTTTTTTAACCCTCTTTACAGAGTTTTAAGTGCGTGGAACCTTGTGAACTGTAAGCACAGTGTCAGCCCATCCCTAGAACTTTCATGTCTTGCATAACTGAAGCTTTGTACCCACTGAGCAGCAGTCCCCCAGTTCCCCTCCCCTGGAAGCCACCATTGCACCACCCGCTTCTCTGGGTTTGATCACTTCCGATTCCTCACCTACCTGGAGTCGTGCAGTGTGTGTGCTTTTGTGACTGGCTTACTTTCCCTCAGCATCGTGCCCTCGAGGTTCATCCGTGTGCAGCGTGTCCCAGGATTTCCCTTTTTTTCCTTTCAATTTTATTGAGATAGAATGAAGCTACAGCGGTGTGTGAGTTTGGTGAACACCCGTCCTCTCACAGAGATACAAAAAGGAACCAAAAGAAAATAGTTTTTTCCTTGTGATGAGCACTCTCAGGATTTATTGTCTTAAAATGTCCAAATATACTGCACAGCAATGTTACCTGGAGTCCTCACGCTGTGCCTTTCGTCCCCTGTACGATCATAACTGGACGTTTGTTCCTCTCGACCTGCTTCATCCAGTTCCCTTACCCCCCCATGCACGGCCTCTAGTGACCGAATCTCCTTTAGTATGAGGGGTTTTGTGTCTTTGTTTTTTTTTTTTTTTTTCTTTTGAGTCCACATAGATGGTACAGTGTTTGTCTTTGTCTGTCTGACTTATTTCACTTAACATAATGCCTCGGGGGACATCTGTGTTGTTGCAAATGGTAGGATTTCTTCGTTTTCTTATGGCTGAAGAATATTCCATTGTCTATACATACGGTGAACATTTAGGTTGTTTCCGTGTCTTGGACGTTGTAAATAATGCCACTGGGAACATGGGGGTGCAGATATCTCTGTGACATAGTGTTTTCCTTTGGGTAGATACCCAGTCACAGAATTCCTGGATCATAGGGTAGTTCTGTTTTTAATTTTTTTGAGGAACCTCTGTACTATTTTTCAGAGAGGCTATACCGATTGGCATTCCCACCAACAGAGCGTGAGGGTTCCCCATTCTCCTCATCGTCGCCAGCGTGTTACCCCTTGTCTATCTGAGGATAGCCATTCCACATGTGTGAGGTGATACCTCCTGGTGGTTTTGATTTGCATTTTCCTGATGATCAGTGATGCGGAGAAGTACCCGGATGTGCTCTTTGGAAAAATGTCTATTCAGAGCTGCTTTTCAGTTTTTCTTTTTATTGAAGTGTCATTGACACACATGTGACATTAGTCTCAGGTGTATTAACACTGTGATTCAGCTTCTCTGTATCTTATGCTGTCCCCACAAGTGGAGCTCCCACCTGTGCCCATATAGGCTGTTATAATATCATGTATTCTGCATGCTGTATCTTTCATCCCCATGATTTATTCATTCCGTAACTGGAAACCTGGGCCTCTCACTCGCCTTCACCAAATACATGAAGGGAAATGGGTGAAGCTTATGCCCATTTTTTTATAAAGACTTTATTTATTTGAGAGAGAGAGAGAGCACGAGCCCAAGTGGGGGGAGGGGCAGAGGGAGAGGGAGAAGCAGACTCCCTCCCTGAGCAGAGATCCCGGGACCTCTGGATCATGACCTGAGCTGAAGGCAGACTTTTTTTTTAAAGATTTTATTTATTTATTTGAGAGAGAGAGAATGAGAGAGAGAGAACACATGAGAGGGGATAGGGTCAGAGGACAAAGCAGACTCCCTGCCGAGCAGGGAGCCCGATGCGGGACTCGATCCAGGGACTCCAGGATCATGACCTGAGCCGAAGGCAGTTGCTCAACCAACTGAGCCACCCAGGCGCCCTGAAGGCAGACTTTTAACTGACTGAGCCACCCAGGCGCCCCTTCTGCCCATTTTTAAATTGGATTTTTTTTAAGCTATTGAATTGTATGAGTTCTATATATATTTTGGATATTAACTCCTTGTCAGATCCATGGTTGCAAATATTTTTTCCCATTCTGTAGGTTGTCTTTTCATTTTGTTAATGGTTTTCTTTGCTGTGCAGAAGCCTTTTTAGCTGGTTGTTGTTCCAGTTATTTATTTTTTATTTTATCGCTTGTGCTTTAGGTCTCATGTCCCAAAAGATCATCACCAAGACTGATGTCAAGGACCTTCTTTTTCCTGTGTTTTCTTGTAGGAGTCTTATGGTTTCTGGTCTTACATTGAGGTCTTTAGTTCATTTCGAGTTAATTTTTGTGAGTCGTGTAGATAGGGGTCCCTTCTTTTTTAAGACTGAGTAATATTCCATCTGCTTTGAATGAAAATAGCCACTGAGGTGAGAAGATACAGTGTCACGTATGATTATTTAATTTCCTTGCGGTCTCTGTCCTCTCATGAAGTAAACCAGTCTGGACGGATGATATGTGCTGATGGAATATTGGGAAAATATCGGTGCTACTCGGAGAACGAGAAATCTTCCCGCTTGCCCAGCTCCGCACACGACGGCCACGTAGCGGTGCTCACACCCCCCCCTTGGGCGGGTCCTCGGGCTGCCTTCCCGCCTTCTCGCTTGTCCTTGCTTATCTCATTCACGACTCACTCTCCAAGTCTGACACATTAGCAGCTAAATG